TTTTTTTAAAGTACATATTGAATTGTCAGTGACATTTTTACTCAGCTATGATATAATTGTTCTATTACCTATTCCACTTATTTCACACATTCTTGTGTTTTATAGAAATAAGATACTCTGCAAAGTTGGGTCAAGAATTAGTACTTTTTCACATGATGGGATTATTTTCATTTAAATTGCATTTTATTGTGGCAAGAACACTTAACATGAGATCTACCCTTTTAAAAGTTCTTTGTTTATTTGCTTAGTTTTTAGTATTTTGCCATAGGGTACATACAATCCACAAGAAAGACAGTGAGAAAGTGAGGAATCACTCTGCAAGTGAAGTGGTCACACCACACTCCCTTCTTCATTCTCTCACAGGATTTCCCACATATACACACACATGCCTGGCATGATTTCAAAGTCACTGTGTCTAGAATTTGAACCATGGTTGGCCATGTTTGAATCCAGCACCTTAGCCACCATGCCATCTGCTGGTCTCTAACAGATTTTTAAGAGTTCAAATTGTTATCACTGATTATTGTCACAATGCCATATAGCAGATTTCTAGAATTTGTCTGTCTTGGTTAACTGAAATTTTATGGCCATTGAATAGTAACTCCCCTCTTCCTCCTTCTTTGGAACTTAAGGATTCTTATTTTCTTTTTTCTTGTTGTTTCTTTTTTTATTTTTAAGAGAGAGATTTTTGCTATAGGACATGGGCACTCACTAGAGAGACAAAGAGAGACAAAGAGAAAGTGAGAAATCACCCCCCAGGGGGATGACCATACCACAATACCTTCTCTTCCATTCTCCTTTCAGGATCTTAGGCACATATGCACAAGTGCCCGGCATGAATTTTAAGCCACTGGGTCCAGGACTCAAACCATAGTTGACTATGTGGGAGTCCAGCAACATAACCATTACACCATCTGCTGTCCCTGTCATGTCATATTTTATAACACATTAAATTAGCTATCTTAGGTAAGTCATGTTCATGTTGTTTGTACTCACAGTGCTGATCAGAATATTAAGAGAAGTGTGTGAAATGAAGCTTAACATGGAACATGTCAATTTTCATTGTGTCAATAATACCCCTATTCTTAGTATTTTACTTAAAATTTAGTTGAGTATAAAGAAATGGCAATTATTCAAGAAGCCTTAGAAATCATATTTCAGAAGCTATTGATTTGATAGCATTTAGTGGCAAATTACAGTATGAAATGAATTTCTTTTTCTGAATATACAAGTAAATATATTTTGCATTAAGTTCAATTGTTGTCAAGTGTGTAGTTGAGTTTTTGTGTGATAATTTTAGATTTTGTTTATAACCATTATGATTCATTTGAAAAGGTTTTTCTATAGTCTGACTGATTTATAACAGAATATCTTTTCTCATGGTACATTATTAAAATTCTGCATTGGTGTTAGAAAAGTTTCTCAGAAAAGGTATACTTTTCATTCACATTTGACAGGAAACCTTTTTTAGTTTTCCCTGATAATTACAATTAGTATGGGAGGAGGTGAGCCAGTGTAATACAACTGTAAATGTTCCTTCCAAGAACATTTTTTTTGTCTATTTTGTACACTTATATTTGGTCAGCTAGTTAGATTACATTAAGAGTGACCTGGTAGGGTTTTTTTTTAGTTTATTTATTTATTATTTCCATGAGGGA